CAAGTCTTGATTCTCATTTTTTCCCCTTACCTCTGCCCTCCCTTCACCCCCTCCTCCCCTCCCCATCTACAAACACTTTATTTTCATCTTTTCATTCTCTCACATTTTTTTCTTTTCCCTTTTTGTTCTTCCCCTACGTATCACACCTTCCCTACATCTTTAGCTCCTTCTTCTGACATCTTATTTTTCATTCTATCTTATATCATCACCATGGCTGTTATATCCATATTATACCCACTTCAGTAATATCTAAGATATTCCACATATTCTCTACATAATTTTCTCTTCAGCTTTCATCAGAATATGCCTTTACATTTCAGGTAAAGTAATTTTTTTCCTAGCTTGCTTCTCCAAAAAAAATTTTTTTTCTTTATTTAGTACCGGGGATCGAACTTGGGACCTTGCACTTGAGAGGCAGGCAGCTGAACCACTGAGCTAAATCCCCAGCCCTTGTCTGAATTTTTTTAGCTTCTACTCATTGCCCCGTTTCAAAGCCATTGCATATTCAAGTATTTGTTATAGCAGCAGCTTCACTTTTTGTACCAGTTTTTATGTTATTGTTTTGTTTTGTTTTGTTTTGTTGCTTTAATAGAGTACCACACACTGGGTGATTTATAAACAATAGAATTTTATTCAGGTCAGAGTTCTGGAGGCTGGGAATTCCAAGAATAAGCATTGGCCTCTTTAAAGAGAGTTCTTTCTGCATCATAACATAAAGTCACCGTTATTTCTGTGGAGACAAATGGATTTCTTTTTTAAGTCTCTAGAACTACATTTGTCTGGACTGAGAATTAGATCCCCACCCCTCGTGAAAGCTCAGATATTTAATCACCTCCTCCTATTTCTTACCTTAACTTTGTGTTTTTTGTTTCTTTCCATTAAAGTTGAGAAGGATTTAAGGAAACTACTTTTTTTTGGAGTGATTGACTCATTACATTTTATTATTAATTGTTTCATATGGAAGTATAAAATTGAATTGCCTTGTATATATTTATATTTTAATTCATTATTTCTGATTCTGAGATGTTATGTTTTTCCTTATTCAAGACTTAGATACCTGTTTTAAAACATCACATTGAACCTCATAAATACGTGCAGCATTTGTCAATTAAAAATAAAATAAAATTTAAAAGAAAAAGATATGAGAGTATCAGTAAGTGAGTATGGAGATTGACCTGTGCCAGTGCTGTATAGAAAATGATCTTGGCTCCATTGGTTGTCCACTTTTTCATGTGCAGTGATTGGATGGTGAGAGGTAGAGACTGTGATAGTTAATTCTTGGTCTTTCCTCCTCAGTGTAATCACTAACCTTTAGCAAACCTGGCAGAGTGTGGTGAATACATAGCCCATTACTCTCTCTTGAGCATGTTCCCATCCTATTCAGTGTTAATCTCATTTCTACCTTTGTTGGTCTTCAGAAAATGTTGTTGTATAATGAAGTGCTTCTAGTCAATGCTGATGTTATTTTGTTACTAATAGCGTATTATATCATAACTTTTCTTAGATTTTATCAGTATGTCTCACTACATTATTTTCTATCTTTGTTTCAAAGTTTCTGCTTTTTAAAAGTATGCCATTGAAATGCACATCATTATTATTAGGTAATAATTGATTATTTCAAGTTCTAGTAACTTATAATAGTTCTTTCCCCCTTTCTTTTCTCATTTTTTTCTTATATTTAAATGATTATTTATAATCATAAATTGATATGTATTGGTAATAAAATACAAAATGTTTCAGTATTGCATATTTTAGTATAATTATATATTTTCCACTCTTCTTTAAAATGGAAAAAATAAAGAGTATTATTTCATGAATTTTCTTTTTCTTGTGTATTAAACTTATTTTGTTACCTGGCAGACTCTATGTTGAATTTTATAGTAACTTTTTTTTTGATGTTCTTAACCCTTCAGATTCTAAAAGAAAAGGATGCTTTGAAAAATCAGCTTTATACTGCAATGCAACAGATAGAGAATCTTAGAAAAGAATTGAGTGATGTCTTGACTAAGCGTGCCCTTCAAGAGGAAGAGATTCACTCTAAGGAGAAGAAACTCACTGATATTAAGTCTCATCAAACTGACCTTGAACAAGAAATCAAGAATTCTTTGGATACCATCCATAGACTCGAGAGTGAATTGAAAAAGCAGAATATGGTTCAAAGCCAGATGAAATTTGAGAAAGCTCACCTGGAGGAAGAAATTGCAGAACTAAAGAAGAGCCAGGCTCAGGACAAAGCTAAATTTCTTGAGATGCAAGAGTCTATCAAGGATTTAAGTGCCATTCGAGCAGATCTTGCTATTAAATTGGCTGAAGAAGAGAGAGCCAAGAAAGCGGTGCTTAAGGACCTTTCTCACCTCACAGCCCAGGCAAAATCCAAAGATGAAGAAACAGCTACTGTCATCACGCAGCTAAAGCTGGAGCGAGATGTTCACCAGAGGGAGCTGGAAGATCTCACATCATCTTTGCAGAGTGTGAAAATGAAACATGAACAAAATATTCAGGAGCTGATGAAACACTTTAAGAAAGAAAAGAGTGAAGCAGAGAATCATATTAGGACACTGAAGGTACCTATGCTGAATTACCTTGATGATACTCAAGGAATTTTTCTGGTGGCTCATGAAGTTAATAAACCATAAACTTTTAGAGATCATTTTGTATTCCCAAGCAGTGAAGGGAAGATAAAACCAACAATAAAGAGGTTTATTCATGCCTGTTTGCCCAGGTTGAAATGAGTTATAGCAGCCACCTGGGAGCACCTATTTTACAGCACTGAAACCCTTTAAAAGGAACATTTAGCTATTTTGGGAGTTCAGGAAAGGTAGAGGTGGCAGTAAGTCCTGGACCTGAAATGTGCCCTCATTCAACATTTATGACCTCCTAAAATATGAAAGGCAAAGACTTGTCAAGGCCATAGAGGATATAACCACAGTCCTTATTAGTATGGTAACTAAAGTGGATCAGCTTATGGGCTGTGTAAATGCAAGGTTTTGAGGTTTACCCATTCTGTTCCAGATCAAAGTTACCTAGGTAAGGGCTGGGGATTTAGCTCAGTGGTTCTGTCACTTGCCTTGCAAGAGCAAAGACCCAAGTTTGATACCTGGTACCCAAAACAAACAAGCAAACAAAACAAAGTTACCTGGGTAAATGCCTAATTGAGACCTTGCATTTGGGGAGGTGTTTCTAAGGTTTAAAGGCTTTATGTTATCAAGCAGGGCAGTTATTTTTTACCATGACAGATCTGTTCTTCCCTGCTTAATTTTTTCTTTATCACACTTATCATATAGTATAGATTCCATACTATTTATTTTTTAGAACGAAAACTCCACGAACACTGGAATTTGAGTTTAATTTCTTTACATTTATATCTCCAGTGCCTTAAATAGTTTCTGGAACCATGTAAGTATATGTTATATAGTTGAATGAATGGATACATCTGTAAAAGTTAATAGTAGTTTGTTTTTCAAAAGTCTTTAAAATGCAAAAAAATACATCGCAAAATGAAATGATATTGAAATAGCTGGTATTTGTAGAATGCTATAGCTGGTTAATAGGTTCTTTCTCAGGCCTTTTTAGTCTTTTGGAATTGTGAATTTGGGGTCATTAACTGAGGAAAGCACAACAGAATAGAGGGTAAGTGACTCTTCTAGATTTCATTGAATCTAAGACACTTATCAGTTTTAAAGAGCATAATTATTTTGTGCTGCTAAGAAAAGTGATACTACCTTCTTCGTATGAAACTATGACATGGTATTAACTGTAAGACAACCAACCAGAGATTGTGGATTGTGAAAAATATACATTTTTACTATTATTTAAATTTGGTGTATTAGTCCTTCAGAGTTTCTGAAGACAGAAACAAAATTAGAATTAGGGTTATGAAGAAGTGAGATCTCTCTGTCTCTCTGTCTCTGTCTCTCCCTTGTTGTTTGACTGTCTATGACAGTAATTCTACTATTAGCAAGTATTTCTTCAACATTTTATGTCAGTCCCTACTACAACTTTATCTATGTTATTCACTGACTCTTCGCATCACCTGTACAGATTGTAGAACTTGAGGTAATTGAGACAAAGTGGTAAAATAACTTGCCCAAAGTCTTTACCGCTGAAGAGTGGTAGACATAGGATTTGAACCCAGACAATCAGCTGCCTGAATTCTTAATTACTTTGATCTTCTGCAAAGATTTAGAATCAAGAATGACTAGGTAATAACTTGGGCAACTTAGTAGATAATGACACTGTTTGCCAGTGTAGAAAATACAGACAGAACAGCAGATTTAGACACAACATTGGCAAATCTAATTTTTTAGCATGTTAGGTAGGAGAGGTCTTAAGGTTAGCCGTGAAAGTCTCAGTATAGTAGTGTAATACATATGGATTTAGGAGTTGAAGAAGAAATTAAGATCTAAGTGAAATATTTAGAAGTTAGTAACGTGGGTGGTAGTTGAAATCATAGGATTTGGGAGATTGTGTGTGGAGAAAGGAAAGAAGGAATCTCTAGAATTCCAGTGTTTAAGGAAAGAATAAAGTGCTTCTCGAAAATGAGAATAAAATAGCGTATGAGTGTGAATAGGAGAATCAGAAAAGAATCCTATCTTGGAAACCCAGGTAGTTCATTTCTAGACCAATACAATTGAGAATGTTATATGTGGAGGATAGTCTTAAAAGAGGTTAAAATATATTCATTCCATTTGGCAGGGATTGATGGAAAGTGTCCATGAGTCTCTGTAAAGGTATTTATTAAAAAATAGAGTGTACAACCAGGGACAGGCATTTCTTCCTTTGAAGATTTTGAATGAAACTGGTAAGATTAGCTACATTGACAGGGGTGGTCAAGGGGAATTGATGAGACTGATAGTCTTTCTTCCCTCTGACAGAGTAGGGCAGCACTAGTAATTTTTGGGTGGTGAAGAGAAAATTGCTGTGAAGACAGGTGTAAATTGCACGAGACTAATCTGGGAGCAGGTAAAGTATTGCTCTGTAGCCAGAAGTAAAGAAGTGTTTTAGAAGAATGAGAGAGTTTGGAAATCAGAATATATGGTTTGTAGTTATTAGGTCAGAAATTCTTTAGACCATAGTGCAGATTTTCAGAGATACTGTAGAAGGTGTGGCATCCAGTGGGTTGCCATTGTGGAATGTGGCTAAAAGTAGTTGGAATAGAACAGTTTCAGTAACTTTGAGATTGGTTTGTTCTGAATGGACATTTGGGCATTTATGGTATTATTATGAAGAGAATACCAGAAACCTCCACAAAGAGAGAGACTAGTCAGTCAGCCTTTGCCAGGAAGGAAAAGGAGGCCTCGGTGAGGAATAGTGTGAATCTTAGAGAAAGGCAGGATTTTGCATGGTGATTAGCATGTGCTGACTTGTTAGCACATTGGGAGTGGCATTAGAAATTGTTCTTCCCAAGGAGCTTGTAGCTCTCTTAATTGTTATCACTAGAATCTCCTTTCCTTCTCAAAACTTCAGATGCCTTTTTGCCATTATTTAGGTTGTGTGATTAACCTGCACTTTACTAATCAGAAGTTAACAATAATTTATTCAGTTTGAATAGGTTTAGGATCATCTCTGTCAGAGTGTCAATCTCACATTTAGATAGATATGTTGAGTGGGAGACAAAATATTGTACTGGATATGAACATACTGATATAGCAGAAGTATAATTCCCAGCCTGCTCGAAGTCAGATGTGCTGAGTTTGTGTCCTCTGAAATTGAAGAATGAATTCCAAAAGACAGAGGGAGTTAAGAGTAATAAAGTTTTGTTGGGGAATAGGAATAGCTCCTGAGAGACGGGGGTGGGGGGGGTCCCAAGTGGGTGGCCACCGAGGCCCTTTGTCAAAGATAATTTATACAGCAAAGTCACAATGTGACTTTCATTGACTTCCTTGACCCCAGTCCCTCTCTGACTGTATAGTAATTTTTTATTTGTTTGTTTTGTTTTTTGAGGCAGGGTTTTGCTATGTAATTCATCCCGGCCTTTAAGTCATCATGCCTGACTGATGATACATTAATTTCTATCTAACTTAGCTTCCTATAATAATATCATGCGAAATAAGAAAGTTGGCTGCTAATTTAGACTACTAGATACACTTCCAAGTGCCTCCTCTGCTTCCCTGAACTTCTTCCCGTCAGCAACTCTACCCTACCATCCATCAGATGCCTTTTCCAAATATGTTTCTGAGTTTGTCATTTCTTGCTCAGAAACTTCCACTAATTATTTACTATTTCTGGATCAGAGTCTACTCTAGTCCAGTCTACCTTCATATGATCCTATCTTACTTATATATTTGGATTACCTTTTATGCATAGAAATATATATACACATTCCCCATTAGTTCTCCATTTGGATTGGCCATTTCCTTAATCTGCAGGAAGCAACATTTTGTCTAATCCTTAAAGGCCCTGCTTTATACCTCTTTTATGGAGTCACTGAGGTTGGAATAAATTTCGACTAAGATTAGGATAAATCTCTTGATCCCCTATGTTTCCTATGTTTACTGAAACTTAAACTTGTAATTGAGCAGTTTTCTGATGAGAGACTTTATTTTGTAAAAAGCCCTTTTTTGGTTTCTTTGGTACTGCACATTCAGGCTTCCCTGTGTTTTTGTTTGTTGGGTGTTCATTAGTCTTTAGAGAGGCATCAAGTGTTAGTCACTTTTGTTTCCTTTTGGGATGTCTAGCATCATGTTTTACACATCTAAGATATTTAGTGGATATTGGATTCAAATGTTTAAAAGTCGGAAATCAGATGATTTACTCCTGATACACTATGTGATCTGTCCAGTTCAAATTTCTTTGTGTAACATAGGAAAATTGATTTCTTTGATGTACTTTGAATTCATTTATAGTGATATGACAAAAAATGATTTTTCTTTAAAAAAATTTTGTGCATATATGGGAAGAATTTGTAATTTCCATGTATTCTGTGATGTTCTGAATCCTTCATTTTTAAAAATATTTTTTCAGTTTGAAAGGCTCACTGTCGGGCAGGATGTTGCGCTGGTCTCTCTCTAATGAGTTAAAGCAGTACACAGAAGCTAAAAGGAGAACCACAGACTGCCAGAGCCAGCAGTTTCCTTTTAAACTAAGTAAATTACCCTTAAGGAACTATCTTCCCCTCATGCTGTTAATGTAATCCTACACTTTTACTTATTTATATTAAGTAAAAAGAATTGATAGCGGAGGTCTTCATAGATTTAGTATACTGAATTATGCACAATAGCATTTTAGGCAAGTAGCTCTACAAGCCTTATGCTTTTGTGTCGTTCACCTTCCTGTAATTTATAAGTTTTTCAATTTAGTAAGCTCTGATACACCAACCATATTTTTCCCTGTGTAAATTAGTTACATTTTCCCCTTTATGGAGAATTACCTTTCTCATACCTACTTTTAAATTTAAGTTTAAAATATTTTACCGACGTGCCATAGCTCTTATTAATATTTTCATGATGTTGGACTGTCACTTTATTGTAACTTCAACAAAACCATTTTGTGAAGCCTTTTATTGGAGCCAAAAAGTACAGGATGGTTGTGTAGTTTTGTAGTTTTGTAGTTGTGTAGTTTTGCCATTTGTCACCCATATGATCTCCTTTTCATGCCTTAACAAGAGTGGGAAGAGTTGTATTCTTGTGTATATTGTTAAGTTGCTGCAAACACATCTTTTGTGAACCCTAGAATGAAATGTAAAGTAATAAAAAGCACAAAAATAAATTCTTAGTTAATTAGGAATTGATATGCTAATAAATAATTAAAAGCAGGCTCTCTGGGGGAATAAACGCTGTCTTGTAGCATTTGCCAAGGTCATTGGTGTAAGTTTCCCCATCTTGGCTGATTTCACACAAGGCAGCATGGAACAGGGGCGAAGCTGGGAAGAGATGAGCACACTGGCTCCTGGTGTCCCTGTCAGTTAGCTCCAGTACATCCCCAACCTTCTGGAGAAGCTTCTCATTTATCTGTGCTTTTTTTTTTTTTGGTACTGGGGATTGAACTCAGGTCCTTGTGCTTAAAAGGCAGGTGGCAGAAACACTGAGCTAAATCCCCCAGCCCTATCTGTGCTTTTTATTGGAGGTAAAGAAAAGTGAAAGCATTCTACTGAAACTTAAACTTGTAATTGAGCAGTTTTCTGATGAGAGACTTTATTTTTGAACTGTGAATACAGGATTTCTCATAAGAAATCAATTTCTATGTTAATTCAAAGTGGCATCAGGTCTTAGGTAAGACTTCTGTGAAGTACAGAAAATATAGATTTTGTCTAAAACTCACAAAGATTCCTCCTTTCAGGAAGTTGTTCCCAATGATTGTGTCCTTACATAATTAAACACATATAATAAACTTATAAAAAGAAAATAACCAGATGCGCTTTAGGCATTAAAACACATACTTTAAACATTATATGCAGTGTTTTACAGACTGTTAGTAACTTGGATGTGGCCAGTTAGTGTTGAAAGTTTCAACCATATTGTTTTTAAAACACGCTATTGTGTCTTTTCAGAGGCAGAGTGATGGAGTAGTTGAAAATAGTTATAATTCCCCAGCTCAAATCCTGGCTCTGCATTTACTTATTATGTACCCTTGGGCAAGGTATTATTAGCTTCTTTGTGCTTCAGTTTCAGAAAGGAGGCAATAAAACAATAATATGGCTTTCCTGGTTAGGTTGTTTTGAAGATGAAATAAGAAATTGTACAGAATGTTTTAGAGAGCAGTACCTGACATATAGTGTTTACATTGTTGATATTTCAGAGTTCTTTAAAGTCCACATTCCTAGCAAGTCTTTACTGAATTCCATACACAGAGTAGATTGATTATTCCTAATGTTTATTTTTTAAACCTGGTTTTAGTTATGTCTAAATAAAGATGAATAAAAAGGTACTTTATTTCACACTACTGATGCGAAACAAACTGTTTCACATTATATTTATAGTTTCTTGGCTGTTATAATTCATAGTGCTATAAAAGTAGTATCAATAATGACATTATACAAAAGCACATACTTCTTCCTTAAAATCTGGACGTTAGGAAGAACAGGAATGTTAAGTTTCTTTTATAGATGAGGAAACTGATCAGTTAAAAGTATCATCTCACAGAATTTTGAGGCACTTGTCTAATACCTCTTTCCCATTTCAGCAGTTGGTTTTTCTTCTTTTGATTGCCCAAATGCTCAGCCTCCACTTTTAAGTACTTTTTCTCATTTATTGTTGTCAAATTGGCTGATGATTCTATTTTAGTGTTTATATCTATTATTTTCAGCCCCTAGTACAGTGCTTGTTACTTGGTGAATGCTTGATACATGCTGTGATTGAATAAAAACAGAGTATTTTTTTGTTTAATTTTTACATGTGAATACTTTGAGAGAACTATAATCTTGAAGTATTTTTCCACTGATATAATGCGTTTAATTTGGTATAGGTTGGCTATAGCCAATGGACTTTCTCTTTTTTCCTCTTTATTTTAGGCAGAAGGCTTAGAAGATAAGAATATAGCTAAAATCCATCTTTGTCAGCTGGAGAATTTGAAATCACAATGTGAAAGACTAACAGAGGAATTATCCCAGAATGAAAATGAGAACAAAAAATTGAAGCTAAAATATCAATGTTTGAAAGACAAACTAGAAGAAAAGGTAATAATATGAGTGAATGCTAATTCATATTAAAAAGATTTGTTTTGGGCTGGGGATGTAGCTTAGTGGTAGAGATCTTGTCTAGTATACATGAGACATGAGTTCAGTTCCCAGTACTGCCAAAAAAATGTATTTAATTTCTTTTAGAATACATTTTAGATATTCTGTATTAATAAATAATAGGTGTAATATTGTCAGAAAAAATAGTTTATTACAATGCTATAATTTTTATTCTGTTAGCCAGCCATTCACTTTTTAGTAGATTTAATTTTAAAAGTTTTCCTATGTCTTAAAATTGAAATTTAGAGGCAAAGTAAAAAAGAATTGATGATTTATTGAGGACTTACTATATGTCAGAAATTTATGCCAATGGATTGATATATATATATATATATATATTTTTTTTTTTCCCCCCCGTTAAGTTTATTGGTACATTTAAAGCAAACAGTACAGTCACATTTATCATTGGGATCTTGTACCTTTACATAATTTGACTTGGTTCTCATTTTTTTCCCCATACCCGTACCCTCCCTTCACCCCACTCACCCTTCTTTATTTACAAAGACTTTGTTTCTATTTTTTCCTTTTTTCTATTTCCCTTATTTCCTTTCCCCTCCCCTTCTGATTTTGTGAGGTGCAACTCTCTGTAGACATCTTCTAAGTATGTTTCCTCGAAGACTTGCTTCAGTTTTGTTACTTCATTGTTGATTTCTTGTCTCTATGATCTGTCTATTTGTGTCAGTGGACTATTGAGGTGCCCCACTACAATTTTATTAGTGCTTATTTTGTTTTTTATATCCATTAATATTTGTTTTGTATAGTTGGGGGCATTGGTATTTGATGCATATACATTTATAATTGTCATTTATTCCTCTTGTATTGTTCCCTTAAGAAGGATGTAATGGCTTTCTTTGTCTCTCTTCATTAGTTTTGTTTTGAAATCTACTCTGTGCAAATAAGATAGCTACCGCTGCTTTTTTCTGAGCTCCTGTCTCATGGAGAATTGTTTTCCATCCTTTTACTCTCTGTCTATGAATTTCTTTGTAGATTAAGTGGATTTATTGTATACAAAATATTGTTGGATTTTGCTTCTTAATCCATTCTGCCAGCCTATTTCTTTGGATTGGTGAATTGATGTTATAAATGTTATTTATTGACGTTTCACAGTCATGTTATTTTCCTGTTGTTGCTTCTTTATTTATTATTTTTCCCTCTCTTCCTTTAATTTCTTGCCTTGGCTGTTGGCTGTTATGGAGCTGTGGCCTTCATTTTCTTTTTCCAGGATATTGTTTAGAGGTATTTGGAGTGCCAGTTTGGTGTACATGCAATTTCTCAGGTGTTCTTTGTCGTGGAAGTATCTTATGTCCTCATCAGTTTTGAAAGATAGTTTTGCAGAATATGTCAGTCTAGGTTGGAGGTTTTTTTCTTGTAGGACTTAAAATACCACACTCCAGGCTCTCATTGTTTTGTGGGTCTGTATTGAAAAGACTTCTGTGATTATAAAGGGCTTTCCTTTGCATCTGATTTGTTTCTTTTCTCCAACTTCTCGTAGTATTTTGTTTTTCTGTTGGGTTTCTATCATCTTGATTATTATATGTCTAGGTGAGACTTTTTTTTTTTGATCATGGCAAATTGGGAGTCCTATATGCCTTACTAATCTGTATGTCAAATTCTTCCCCTCAGGAAAGTTTTCTATCATTAATTCTATGAACAGTTTTTTAACATCATTTGTACTTTCTCTGGCTACTTCATGTATTCCTATCAGTCTTATTCTTCTTTACATCATCTAAGAGTTGTTCACTTGATTTCTAATGATCCCTTACTGTTTTTAAGAGATCCCTCTTTTCATGGTCACTAACCTCAATCCTGTCTTCTATATCTGAAATTCTTTCTTTCCATCTGTTCATTCTGCTGCAAATACTTTCTATAAAGTTTTTAATCTCCTGGATATCTGTTTGAATCTGTTTCATGGATTCCATTTCTTTCCTATGTTGGGCATTCAAAGTTTTTGTTTGTTTCCTATGCTGGGCATTCATTGTCCTGAGCTTATGTATTTATTTATTTTTTTATCTGTTTCTATTCTAGAGTCTCTAATCATGTCTTACATTCTTTTTACCATCTCTGTGTTATCTGGGAAATTATTTTGGCTTTGAATTTTTCTAGAGCTTCATTTAATCTGTTTTGTTACTTCCTGTGCTATCAGTTCAGGGTGTCCAAATGGTTGTCTGTCATTTCCCCCAGAGTTTATCTTTGGTGAGGTGGAAGTCTGTGTTTGTGTCTTGTTTGAATGCCTTCTCATTTCTTTTTCTGTTGTTGGTACTGTCCTTGGTTTAATTCCTGGGTTAGCACTTTGATTTTCCAGATGTAGCTGGTCTCCAGGATTTGAGTCTCTAATGACTCTGAGGCAATCTCATTTGTATTACATCGGGAAGGACAACTGATTAGATCAATCATAATACTTTAGCCCAAGTGATACAATCAGCAACACAATAATATCAAGCATGGCTTAGAAAATGACAATTTGTGGTGGTTTTTAATATATCAACTTTAACAGTGTGAATTAAATCAAAATTGAGGACCAGCCCAAAATATGTTTATAGTGAATACACTCTTCAATATAACAAGTTTACCATTCAGGTTTGGGACTTAGAAGTAGTTGGGGAGGGTGGGACAGATAGATAGGATAGAGAAAGGTTAGAAATGAGATCTGAGGATATAGGAAGATCACACAAACTCTAAGGAGCTGTTGAAGAGAACAGGAGACAGAACAAAATATACACAAGAACAGAACAAACTAACAGCAATAGGGAGGCTAGAGAGTATAATCACTTTCTTTTTAAACTAATGGCAGTTGAGAGAAGGAAAATGAGAAGAAAAGGAAAAGAAAGAAAATTCAAATTAGGGTAGGAAGAGGAACAAAAAGGAAAAGAAATGAAGATCAAGGTGGAAGAGAGAGAGAGAAAAGATAAGAAGATTAAGAAAAGGGAAAATTGAGAAAAGATAGATTTTTTTAAAAATGATTAAATATAAGAGAAAAATATTACTTTGAAAATAAAAAATACAAATAGAAATAGAGGGCCTCATTCAGGGTATGCCTCCATTGACACAGTAGACAGTGTGGGCAGGAGTGTGCAGACCTAAGTTAATTAGTCTCAGTGAGCCAGCAGCTGTCCCCTGAGGTTCAGGCTGATTTCTTGTTGCAAGACCCAAGTTGAGATCTCTGACCCCTGGCTGGGTTGAACTTTGCAAGATTCTATTGCAGGTTTTAGATGTCTTTCCCCTAAAGTTAGACCAGGTTCTGATGTGAGGTGCTGGTCCTTCTGACTTACCGTCTATGGTGTGCCTTTATTGCAGAGATTTTCTTCACTTTTCCAGTGGGCTTCAGTTTTCATTTCAGAGCCTCAGAGAAACCCTCTTTCTCTTGTTCGAGGGGTTGGGGCCTGGACACTGCTCTGTGGGCACCTATGCAGCTGGGCTTCTGTGTTGAGCTGAGCTGAGGAGGCAGGCCCACCAAAGGGTTGCAAGCTGTTGCAGGTCTCCTCTGCTGCACTGGGCTGAAGGGCTGGTTGATATATTTTCACTCATTACATCTCACAACTATTTGGGTTAGTATGTTAGTCTGTTTAAGCTGCTGTTACAAATATTATGGACTGGATTGCTGACAAACAAGGAAAATTTATTTCTTGTGTTTCTAGAGGCTGGGAAGTCCAGATCTTAGCCCTGATAGATTTGGTGTGGGGAGAGAGCACCCTGTTCTGTTCATTTACTATGTCTTCCACTGTGTTTTCACACTGTAGGAGGACTCAGGGAGCTCTCTGAGTCCTCTTTTTTCTGGGCACTTATCCCACTGATGAAGGTTTTCCTTATGACTTAATCATCTGCCCCCACCTCCCCAAATAGCTCATTGGAGATTAGGTTTCAGTTAGAAAATTTGGAAAGTCACAAATATTTAATCTGTAGCTGTTAGGTTTCATTGCTTTATGAAGAAAATAAGGTTCACAGTAAAGTATTTAATGGTTATGTGTGTTGTGTGCTAATCCTCATAGTAGTTTTGAAATTGATACTATTATCATTTTTATAATTTTTGACAGTGAAGATTAAGAAGATTGCAACTTTGTACATTCCCACCTGCTCACTGCTTTCCTTTCAGTAGATATCTAAATTTATTTTAAGTGACTGCTACTTTCTGCATTTTGGGTAGAATATCAAGGGTTTTAGAAGTTACTGCTTTTGAGCTTTGCTTATGACAAAAAGTCAACTAGTAATAGAAGACAATATTTAGATTTGCTTCTCCTAACTTATGAAAAGAATTTGCAGTGGAATGTCATAGATTTCTAATGTACTTCATGTACAAAAGATCATGAAAGCAGGATATTGGGAGAAGGTAGTGTAGACATAGGTTAAATGATGCTAAACTTGTTGAGGATTCCTAAAACCTATGAGGAAGGAACTGAGTGGGCTGTTGTTATAAACTTTTAAAAAGAAGCTTTCTTAATGCTTTCCTTTTTTAAAAATCTTTCCTCTATGTGTCATTTGTAAATTTGTGTGTATATTTATAATTAGCTATTAATTGTAGTAATTCTTAAGCTAAGGAAATAAAGTAGTTTGGAAAAAAATCAAGGAAATTTTCGTGTATGTGATGAGTAAAATATCAAGTAAAGGCAAAAAAAGTTACTTGGAGCTTATGATTAAATATATTTAATATGCTAAATTTCAGCCTACAGTCTTGACAACAACAGCTGTAATTTAGTTCCTATGTCATTCTTTGTTTTGATTGTATCTAATGTTTGTACAAATTTAATGTATCTGTTGCCAGGATGTAGTTGCTGTGGAGATGATGCTAAATTTTCCTGCTTTTCTCTAATTAAAATATTAGCTAGAAATTGTGCTAAAATGTTTTATATTTCCTTTCTGTCTTTAAGAAAGTGTTGAAAATTTGATTTTTTGAAAAATGTAACATTTAACTTGATTTACTTAAGATAAAAGTTTTTTTCACTGAT